CCCAGACACTCCTTGACTTGACTATAATTGAATGTGTGTGCGTGGGGTAGGTGCTTATGTTTTGGGGTGGTTTTTTTGTTTGTTTGCTGTCTCGCTTCTCATCCAAGAAGCTTCTTCAGTTCTGACAGAATGGTGGGGGATGGAAGGATTTATATTCTTCGCACTCATCTGGTCATTGGCGCTCCAAAGATTGGCCGTTAGCTCTCTTGAGAGTCATCGAAGCCACTTGGGGGTTTTATCTGTACTCTCGGGGTCACCTAAATCGGGGTGCAGAGGTCTGTGCTGGAGATGGGTGGCATCGTAACCCTTTCTGTTGAAAGAGCTGTTGGTTTTAACACAGATGACCTCTTTGGGGCCCCCCTTTCTGTCCAGAATGTGGACGTTGCTGTCTTGAGAAGAGCAACCTTCGTCTTTCCAACTCGGCGGGGCTGCTGTCCCAAAAGGTGCTTTTTTTTCAAGAGGCACCTGGGCTTCCTTTGTTGAAGAGGTTTCGCTTTTCATCCAAGAAGCTTCTTCAGCTGAAGTGATGAACTAAAGAAGCATCTTGGAGGAGAAGTGAAACGTCTTCAAAGAAAAACCAGAAAGTCCAGTTGCCCCTTGGGGGAGGGAAAAAAAAAAAGCATATTTGGGACAACTGTGACCTGGAGGACTGAGAATCTCCATAGACAGATGGACTGCTAAATCTTGGCCTGATGGGTTTGTTTTGCTATGTTGTGCCATGTGTTTGTGAATAAAACCACAAACGCATGGCACAGCACAGGAGAACAAACGCATCAGGATAAGATTCAACACTGAAGTAAACAGAAAATTCACATTGTCTTTACATTTTATTCTCACCATCCACTGGAGCAAAAACATGGGACTCATTGGCCACTTTAAGCCTGGGGGGCTTCAACTCCCAGAATTCACAGAGTTAAAGCCCCCCCCAGGCTTAAAGTGACCATAGTTGGAGACCCCTGCTCTACCCTACAAGGCTGAAGGTTTACCAAAGAGGGAAAAGAACTAAAACACATCAAAGGCCCTCAGAACCTGTGGCTATCCCAATTGGGCCTTCATTAAACCCAGATAAAGATCCAGTAGGACCTTTGTCCTCCACAAGAGACAAAGAAGAGAACAACGCACGAAGCAATGTCCATATGTTGCAGGAATACCAATTTTATGCGGGAGAAAACCCAAATAACCAAAGATACACACACACACACAAAAGAAAAAAAAGTGTTTGGCCCAATATATGTTTGTGTGTGTGTGTGTGTGTGTGTATATATATACACACACACACACACATGGTGGAGCTCTCGCCTCACAATGAGGAGGCTGTGACTTCAATCCTAGGTAGAGGCTTATATTTGGAATAGACTCGTGCTCGAGCAGGGGGTTGGACTAGATGACCTCCAAGGTCCCTTCCAACTCTTGTTATTCTATGAGATATATATGCATATATGACGGTTGCAATGTCCTGGAATTACGTGATCGTGTTTTCTGACCCGAGAAGCAAAGTCAATGGGGAAGCCAGGTTCAATTAAGAACCACGTTACTAACTCAACAACAACTGCAGGGATTCACTTAAGAAAGAGCTGTAACTTGGGCCAAACTCGCTTGTAACCAAATGCCTCACTGACGAACAATTGGATTCCCTTGTGGTCGTTAAGTCAAGGACTACCTGTAATATATATACCCATTTGCCCCCAAAAGCTGACTTACCGTGGGCAGAGATAGCACCCCCTTCTGACTTGGAATAAAGGGTCCTGTTAGTGTTTGGGGGGCTGATCTCAGTCCAGGAAGCTAGAAGTAAAACACAGCCTGCACACATACAGCCAGCACTACAATTGCATCAGAACTGAGGTCCTTTTACTGGAGGCCAGAAGGTTGGTCTTCAAGGTGGGAATCCATGTGGCTGGTCCAGATGGGTCTGGACTTCATGGATCCGTGGCAGCTGCCCCATCAGACACGTGGCCCTCCCACCCACCTCCAAAGCCTCCCAACCACCCGGTTGCAGCTACTTCGCCGCCGTCAGTAGCAGAGCGCCATGGGTTCCAGCGTGAGGAAGCGAACGTGCATCTTGGTCTCTATGTCGATGCCTTCCCATATCTGGCATTGAAAGAGGGGGGAAGAACCCAGAGTTAGTAGAGGAGAAGACAATCTCCGATCCTGCAATCATTTTAAATTGTGCTTCAAAAAAGGAGCAAACGTTGCAATCCAAAGGTTATGCATGGACTTCCCTATCTCCGCTTGGTCCTGTTTGAGGCACCCAAAGTCTTCTGTTGTGAACCTTTTGCCCATATCCTTTAAGGAGGGATCTTCTCCGCTTTCCTTTCGTCAATTTACTTAATCCTACCCACCCCTTGTAAAGTTTGTAGGCAGAGAAACTCTACCCGTATAGCAGTTTTTGCAAGATAGCTAACAGAGGACTTCCAACCCTAATCCACCACCTCTACCCTACACTGATTATTTGGGAGACTTTGTGTTGGGGGGAAAAAAAACCCATTACTGGAGATTATTTCTGTGAATTTGGAAATGACTATTTTTTGAAAACAAATTGCAAGGGGTTTGCTTGGCAGAGCTGAGTAGAGATACGTCCCTGAAGGGCAGGAGGCCAGCCTCCTCTTTCCGTCTAAGCCGATAAAAATGCAAAAAAAAAAAAGATTGAGTCACCTTCAGGAAATCATCAAATGTGATCCCTTCGTAGACTTGGTCCGGCTCCTAAGATTAGGAAGGAAAAGAGATTCATTTCAGGAAGGGAGAATAAAAAGGAAATAATCAGAAGTCGTCGAAAAGGAAATACACCCTCTTTAACATTCAGGAAATTCCAAAGATGAAATCTGAATTCAAACAAGGGATATCTTTATTAGGTCTGACCCTAAGGGATATAAGATATAAGAATCACATTGGGGTAGGAAAACTATAGGATTTGAACACTAAAAATGAAAGAATATACAGCAATGGAAATACTGACTAAATACTGTATATGTACAGCAGAAGTCTAACCAAATTCACACAGGTGGTTTCATTATGTGCAACACATCACACAGTAAGGCAAGCTAAAATGTGGTTTCTGATGAAAAAGAAACTGTGTATAATAATTAAAATGATGCAAACAGAAATGTCCAAAGTATAAAAATATTTAACAATCAGTTGAACGTTTGGAGGAAAAGGGGAGGGGTATAGAAATAGAATGCCCTTCTTATAATAATTTTGAAATCTTTTTTTTTTTTCTTTTTCTTCTAAATCCTTCCAGTAATGTATAGGCATCTTTTTCTGTGCTTTATCTTTTTATTTATTTATTATTTATTAATTCAAATTGTGTGGCTCCTATCTCAAGAAGTGACTTTGTGAACAAAATTAAAAATTGCAACAATTTTGTTTGCAGCTTTTACTTAACCAATAAAAAAGGTTTTTTTAAAAGCCAAACATCCAATAGATTTCTTTTTTTTTAAAGGTTACATTTTAAAGTTTTTAAGAAGAGATTGGATAACCATTTTGTCTGAAGTGGTGTAGGGTTTCCTGCCTAAGCAGGGGGTTGGACTAGAAGACCTCCAAGGTCCCTTCCAACTCTGTTATTCTATTCTATTCTATTTCTATTTCTATTCTACTCTACTGTATTCTACTCCACTCTACTCTACATCTGTTTCAACCAGAAATAATATTGTGGTTGAGGCCTTCATGTTGTTAGAACTGCAATGAAAATAATGCTTTATTTAAATATATTGTTCCTTTTAGGGCTGAAGGAATCCACGTACAATGACTTGACTTTTTAAGATTTAATATTTTCAGATGTTTAGATCCTTTGGAAATGTTTTTCTTGCAAGTGGGAATTGACATCTGCACAACTGAAATACATTTATAGCTGAAAGACTTACTGTATTGTTCAGAACTGGAAAGACAAACATATGGTCGCAAGGCTTCTGTGGTTTGCACAATTGATTAATATAGACTAGCTATGAAAGTCTGTAATGAATCATCACTTCCGTTTATTGATGGAGACATTCTGTAAATATATATATATCCTGCATGTTTTCATTTCTCTTTTTAGCTTCTCCTCTTAGAACTAGGTGCTTTTTTTTTTTTTGGTATTTATTTAAATAAAAAAGGGATACAAGAGCATTGTGTGTGTGTGTGTGTTTTACACAACCCTCCAGGGAGCTTGGAAAAAAGTCACAAGGGCAGTTGTGCTCATCCTATCAACACCTGTCTATTTTTACATGGGTTGCATGAAGGATCACATTGTTATCTTATATTAACGAAGCTGCTAACATTCCTGCAAAAAAGTTTTTCATACCATTCGGCCTGTACATTTATATCAAGATGACACGACACAAGGAAAGAGACAAGGAAGGAGGGAGAAGGAAAACTGAACACACACGATAACAACTATGTCTCTTAAATCATTCAGCCAGTGAGAGACCACACAACTGGTATTTTTAATAGTGTTGGTGTATGGTGACTACCACATTCATTTCACTTTTAGCAGCAGTTACGTTACAAAAAGCATATTTTCAATTTATGATACGTGTAATACCCCACTCCATTCCATGGGTTACAAGCAAAAAAAAAAAAAAAAGATTTTGGGGGGAGAGTGAGAAAGAGGAAAAAGAAGAGGCATAGAGAGATGAATAGGAAAATGGATAAACAGATGAAATATAGATGAGATAAAGAGAGATAAAATGTGGAGATATAGACAAAAGAGAGATACAGACAGATGAAAGACAGAAGAGGTAGATAAAGGATAGATAGATCGATTGATAGATGTGGATGGATCGATGGATAGATGGGTAGGTAGGTAGATGTGCATGATGGATGGATGTGCATGATGAATGGATGGATGGATGCAGAGAGAGATGATAGAGATAGATATGGATGGATGGATAGATGATTGAATGATAGATAGATAGATAGATGATAGATAGATAGATAGATAGATAGATAGATAGATAGATAGATAGATAGATAGATAGAT